GATTTGTTCTCTTGAACCTTTGTTCTTTCTTTTTCAATTTCGGTTTCTATTCTACTTATTATTACTATGCTTTTGATTTCGTTCATTATGTCTGAGTAGTTTTATTGTTGGGATTAAGGGATTTTTGATGGGGATTTATATGTTCGATGAGGATTCCATGAGCTTTTGAGCCGAATCTGAGAAATTTTTCTTCTGAATTCGTTTTTACTGCATGAGAGTAGCGTCATGAACTACAATCTGATCCAGATGCTTGGTGACACGAAAGTGTTCATCAGGTATCAGATCTAGTTTGGGAGAGCAAAACAAACATAGGAGTGGAAACCTACCTATGGGCGATTTGTGAATTAGGACGAGTCTTAAACATAATGCATCTCTTCTCTTCCAGGGCTAGAGTGGAAACCTACTGGTCAGGGTTGAGAGAGATAGTTGTCTATGATCACGACAGTGGCGTATTCATACGTCCGTGACTCCAGTTCGAAAAGTTTAAGCTAAGATCTTACAAAATTTCCTCTCTAGCAATGTTTTGAATCGTTCGTACCCCTGAGAAAACTTCCCTGAAGCCCAACGCCTTCTTCCTTATTGTTTTACACCGTTTTTCTTTAAAGCTTTAGTTCAATATTGTCTTTCCTTTTTAGTTCATTTTCATTTAAGCATTAGAATATCCATTTTTATCATTTTTAGTCATTTTCATTAAGTTTAGTTATTACGTCATTTAATTCTCGTATTCTCTTTTAATATTTCGTTTTTACATTTTAAACACACTACCAAACCCCCACTAAACCGTTTTTTGTTCTAGACTTCCTTACTTAATACTTATTTCAAAGGCTTTTTGCAGGAAAAGATCCTCCTTCCCTGTGGATTCGATCCCTAAGTACTACAATCGATCAGCTGTGCACTTGCAGCTATTGATTTCAATTAGGGTAAAACTTGACACCCACACATCAAGTCACATCAAACATCTACCCATCTTGAGTCCACATCCTCTACTCGATGTCCAAACCACATGGTTAGTGTTCTACACACAAATCCCAACTTGTTTTTTGTCTTTGCCTTAGTATATTTGACTTAGTATTTTTGTCTTATTGTGTTTATATTTTGTTTAGTATTTTTGTCTCTGACTCTTTTGATTTTCATGTCAAGGTTTAACCGGGACAAAGGCAAATTGTCTCGGGTCATTGCTGGCATCTTCCGAAGGAAGTTTGATGGTCCTTACTACAGTTGGAAGAGAACATCTATAGCCGTTCAAGAGAGATATTTCAGAACTTTTGCCATAATGTCTTGCTGCTGTTTTCATTGTTTGATTGTGTTATCTCACTAATACATATTGTTTTTATTGTTTTATCTCACTAATACATATTGATTCTCTTGTTTTGATGTGTAGCAGAAGTACAATTGGGATATTGGCCTGACTGACTTGGTCAAACAAGGATTCTTGAAGAGGGCCAAAAAAAGGATGAAAGGCATTGTCTCTCAAGCTAAAAACAGTGGCGAGAGACCACCTTGGATTGCCTCGAAGCTTTTGGACTCAAATGTGGGCTCATTGGGACACTCCTGATGCAATTGAGAGGAGCTCCACTGAATCACAGTGCCGTAACTCAAACCGTGGTGGACTTGGAGTCCATAAACATGTCTCCGGCCAGAAATCCCACTTGACAGTTCAACAGGAAATGGTAAAGGGTTATAACTTTTTGGATTTTGAGTTTTTGGGTTATGAGTTTTCAATTTGTCTGATGATTTGTCTTTGCTTCTATCATCATAGGAGGAAGCATTAGGGCGTCCCGTGTCTCTTGGTGAAGTGTTTATGAAAACACATACCAGAGCAGATGGCACATTCGTTGATCGAAAGGCTGAGAAGGTAGCTCAGGCTTATGAGAAGAACTTAGAAGAGCTTGTGAGTGAACTGGATGTGGACGGTCCAGACACTTCAGATGATTCTTCCCAACAGTCTACACATCAGATCCTAACCGTTGAAGAAAAGGATGATATCTTCCTTAAGGTAATTTCGATTTTTTACTTCTTCTTAGCATTTTTAATATTTTTCTTTTGAACAGCAATATACTTGATGATGATTATCTGGTTTTGATAATCATCTTCTTTTATTTAGTTTCTTTGGACTTGATAATGTCTATGTCGTGGATTAGTTGCCGCTTGTGTTTTGTTCTGGTTCATGTTGGTTTCGTTTTGTGTTTTTATAGTGTTCTTGTTGGATTTGATAGTGTTCTGGTTCATGTTGGTTTCGTTTTGTGTTTTGGTAATCATCTTCTCTTGTTTTGGCTCTTCTGTTTTTTGCTTCTTGTTGGTTCTTGTTGCCGCTTGGTTCTTGTTGGTTCATACATGAGTCGCTTGGTTCTTGTTGGTTCAGGGATGAATCGCTTGGTTCTTGTTGGTTGATCATAAGATTTCTGCTGAGATCAGTTGTTGTTTTTGTTGTTGTTTTAGTCTACTGTAATAGATGACAAGGGACACCCTTATGGACTTGGTGCAATTGGAGAGACAGTCACCGGAAAAAAAAAGGAAAGAGACTTGTTATGCAAGCTCTTCCTCATCAATCCTAAAGATGCAGGAACAACTCAAAGCTGCTCGTCAAAAGATCGCCGAGCAAGAAGCTGAAAATTCTTGACGTGACGAGGAGGCACGAGCTGCTCAGAAACACTTGGAGTTGCTCTTCTCATATGTCAAAAACAAGGATCCCGCCTTTGCATCGTTTTTGGCTTCTCAAGCAAACACCTCAGCAGCCACAACATCAGCAGCCGCAACATTAACAGCCGCACCAGCCAATGCAACAGCCCCTGCACCAGCCACTGCACAAACCAATGCACCAGCCCCTACACCAGCTGCTCTCTCAAACGATTCCTCACCCGCACCAAACTCTTAACTCTATGAATTAAACTTTTAAGTTCTATGTTCTTTTCCTTGTGTCTTTTTTTTTGGACTAAGCAATCTATGTAACATATTTTGGGATTTGAAACTCTTTTTTTGTTGACTAATCTGTCAAGTTTTTAGTTCATATTCGTATTAATATTTTATTTTTAGGTTTTCAATAATTAAATTTAGATTTAATTACGGTTTTAGATAAATGACCATAATGAAATTAGTTAGTAATAAGCGGCGCATTTGCAACCAAAAGGTATAACAATTGTCCTAAATCAATCGCAAACTCGGAACCAATTTGCGACTCGATGAAAATTCAGTTACAAAGATTTAGTCATTAAATAGTCGCAAATCAACGACTACATAATGGTCCTAAATCAGTCGCAAATTTGGAACCAATTTGCGACTCGATGAAAATTCAGTCACAACGGTTTAATCATTAAATAGTCGCAAATCAACGACTACATAAGGGTCGCAATTATACGACTTTGGGAAAGAGTCAAACATTAGTCGCTAAATATTATGTCACAATTTACTCATTAATAAACAACCAATGTTGTTAGTGTCAATTATGTCGCTAAATATAGTCGTTACAATATGGTCCTTAATAAACAACCAATATGTGTCGTGGCACTTTTGTCGCTAATATACGACTACATTTCTACGTCATAAGGGTCGCAAATCAACGACTACATAAGGGTCGCAATTATACGACTTTGGGAAAGAGTCAAACATTAGTCGCTAAAATATTATGTCACAATTTACTCATTAATAAACAATCAATGTTGTTAGTGTCAATTATGTCGCTAAATATAGTCGTTACAATATGGTCCTTAATAAACAACCAATATGTGTCGTGGCACTTTTGTCGCTAATATACGACTACATTTCTACGTCATAAGTTAGTTGGTAATTTGCGTCTAATTTGCGACCGTTCAATTTTCCGATGAAATATTAGCGACTCTTTCAAATAGTCCTTATATAGTCGTAAATAGGGTATTAGCGACCATTTAAGGACGATTTTTGTGGTTGCAAAGAGTGTGTTTTCTTGTAGTGATAACAACAAACAATTATGGGGGGTGTATGATATTAATATAATATTAAATAAAGAAAAAATATAGATAATTAATTATGTGTTAATGAAAGGGGTTTTGTAGTCATTTTTAGTGCTTCAAATAGTAGAAAAGTGTATTTTTTGTAATAAAAACTCTAAAATGTTTATTTTGGACATTATAAACTCAAAAGTATCTCATATGGTAACACACTCAAATAATATAGATAAGTTATTGTGTGTTAATGAAAAGGGCTTTTAGTCATTTTTAATGCCCAAATAGTTGAAAAGTGTTTTTTTGATAATAAAAATTCAAAAGTTTCTGTTTTAGACGTTATAAACTCAAAAATGCCCCAATTGATAACACTCTTAAACAAAAATGAATAACTGATCGATTCAAAGATACCAAGCTGGACCGAACTGAGAATCGAATGCATTTTGAAATGTCACCGGTTGGATGAAATCAAAATTCTCAGTTCGGTCGCGTTTTGGGCCGAACGTCGAGGCCTAATGAAAATGATGGTGTGGTCTTTTATACATAAAGACAGTTTTCTTTTCTTGGTTGTAAGTCGAACATTGACGTAGCTTGCAATGCCTTAGTCTTTTTTGAAGCTTTTCGAGAAGGCATCATCTCAGACTAGTCGGTTTACCGTCTTCCTTAACTTGAAATCTGGGACTCTATTTGTGTACTCATCAATCCATCATTAATAATGACTGAAATTAAAAAAAAAAATTAAAATATTCCGAACTAAGATTCACCTATTTTTATTTTTATAATTCATTACCAAAATAAATAAAAACTATGGGCGATATTTATTTATGTATTTTAATTAGTTAAGAAATCTATATAGGATTTAAAATTAATCTTTCTTTTTGTAAATCTGAGCAAATTTGGAGGTTTTACCTTGGATTTGATTCTTTATATTTTTAACATGAAAATTCATTCAAATCCACTAAAATATTTTCTGAAATCAAATTGATAAGTAATCGGTTGAATAGAACGTGATTAAAAACTGAATTTTAAAATCATAAAACCATAACGCTGAATCTGAAAACGAAAACGAAATTAAAAATTACATAACCAATAACACTATATTTAGTTTGGAGTTCCAAATCCAGTAAAATACATAAACCCAATAACCCCACTAAAATACAGCCACACAACAGAAAATACGATCTTAAAAAAGTATATAGACAACAACCAAAAAAAAAAAGAAGAGAGTTATAGGAGAGATCATCATAACAAACTTTTACATCAATGTTTCTGACCACCCTCCACCGTAGGATCTAACTCCAAACACCGTAGGGTGCAGTGATTGAACGGCCGCTCTGGCGTGCTCGAGAGGCTGAGTGCTAAAGAAATCCGAGTAGACCTCCATGAAAAATTGCTCAACCACATCGAGGTAAGCAGCACAACGAAGACGAGAGTAGCAATGCAGAAACTCTCTAACATCTGAGACATGCTCCTCATCGTTTATTATATCATCATTCATCATCTTCTCCATCTCTTCCAGCCTTCGACGAACAATCTCAACCTTCGGTTTGGAAAAGAGTGTCTCGTCTCTATCTCCTCTTCTTGGTGGTTGTGTCAAAGCTCTGTTTTTGGTCACATAGTCTCTGGCTTTAGGTTGAAACTGCTTTTGTATAGATGATGATGATGATGTGATGATGTTGGGGTTTGGGTAATGATGATGAGGATTGTTAGTGGAGGTATTGTTAGGTGTTTTGGGTAGTTTATGATAGGTACCATTGTTGGAGAAGAATGATTTGAAGTTGTCGATAGTTTTTTGGAAGAATTTTCTTGTGTTGGAGATTGAGCTTCTAAGAGCCATCGCCCTTTTCTTTTCTTCAAAAGATTGAGAGACAGATCTGTTTTCTCTTATTACTTCTGTCTTCTTCTTTGAGTTTGGTGAATTGTCCGTAGAAAGCTCTTTGCTTATATTAAAGAGGAATACTACTTAATGAACATGGTTTAGTTTATTTTTTATTTGCAAAAATCGGTGGATGACTTTTAAAAATATATCAAAATTAATGTATTCTATTGACGGCTTAAGAAATACATTAGCATCTACCAAAATTAATCACTCGTGTTATTTCTCTTGACGGCTTAAAAAAATGGGATCATATATATCCTTAAAGATGTAATAAGTAATGTATTCTTACGCAGGCAAACATCAATTACTACTGGTAACAACATTTGATAAATGAAGTATTATAATGTTATATATTATTGTCTACTCCTCAAAACGGTTATCATATATAGAGAATTACACAAACAATTGAGAAAAGATTAGCGGTAACTAAGAACACTTTCAGTGGTGAGAGATCTGGAGTTTTCTTAAATAAAGTACAAATATTTTCAATATATTTTAATTTGATGGTTTTTAAAGTGTTTGTAGAGGTTCTCAATTAAGAACCTTTTGTGCTCAAAACTCTACTATTTTAGAAATCCACTATACACAGATAGTTTTTTCTGTTAATGTAAGATAACATTGAGATAACACCAATACTAATTATTCTCCTCAATATTTTGTTTTCCTGATAGTGATTTATATCTTAACTATTTTATACATTTAGGCTAAAATTTAAATTCCTCATAGTCAGTTTTATGAAAGTTTAGTTATTGAAATTTTCAATATTTTTTGTTGAGAAGGGCAATGTGTTAGTAATGAATGCCGCACAAAGAGGGTTTACATATGTTTTAGTCTTTTAGATGGTTTTGGTTTAGAAGAGGTTATATACTCTTATTTTTCTAAAATTTTTTTAAAAATTATTCATTTGTGTTCAATTCATATTTATTTACATAAATTATAACTATTCATACCAATGATTATTTGTGTGTTTGTAACTTTGTATGGTCAGTTTTGTCTTTCAAGACGCTTTCGTTCTTGTTTTTAAATCACCGAAAAAGTCCATAATTTTCTTCGTCTGCCTATATTTATATTATTCTCTTCTTTGGATTCTGTGGTATCAATTTGTCTTTAAAATAAATAAAAAAATATATTTTAGTAGGTTCATATTCATAGTCTTCCTGCATTTTTAGCGAACAATTAGAATAATGTATATTGATTTAAAAATAATAAAAATTCAGGCTTATTTCCAGCTGATAAATTTAATATTTTAACAGAAAAATGAACACAGCTGATAATATAAAAGAGTTCAGTATAAAGTATGTATTTTTATATATTCAATGTATAGTACATGCAATAAACTAAAGTGCAATCTTGGTGGTATACTTTGTATTGTTACAATTAATCATTACTAAAGTGAAAAAAAAAGGGAAAAGGAGATGGGCAACAGAAAAAAAATTTTAGACTTAAGTAAACTAATTTATAATAAGAAAAGTAATTTATCTCTTTAAATATTTTCTTTTTAAAGTAAAATTAAATTACAAATAACATTTGTTTTAAAATGTAGAAGAAATTGGATCTTGATTACAAAACTTTAAAGGAAGGAGTGAAGTAAGAGTGAGGACATGCTTTTAAAGGTAGAAATGGGTAGATCTGTTACAGTAGTCTCGGGTTGTTGAATTGGCACCATTCTATTTAGCTACTCTTGATTTATCTATTTTACCAATTTTTATCCACCAACCTCTTTCTTTCTTTTTTTTTTTTTTTTGTTAAAGGTTTTACCTCTTTGGCTCTTTCTTTGCCTTTTTTTTTTTTGTTAAAGGGCTTATCTCTTTCTTTGCTTTTATTAACCAAAACATGAAGTGTATTAATTTAGTTTTCCATGGTTAAAATTCGGACAACAAGTCTTGTTTTATTCTATTATACCGTTTTGCTTTCTTTCATTTCGATTCTATTTATAATAATCTCGATATCTTTGATCATAGAAATATTATATCTATACATATTATTTCTAAGAATTATCACGGTAATATTAAATTATTACAAAATAATTGATATGAAATTATATTTTTATGTTTTCTAAACCATCTTTTAAATCTCTTAATATAATAAGAAATATTAAAATAAGAAATAATAGGTTTGAAATGTATATTCGAATAGAAACTTATGGTTGAAGATAGTTTGGATGTTTTGACGTTTTCAGCCAAAAAGGGTCTATTTTTTTAATAAAAAGAAATCTGCGTTTTTTTTTTGGTTTAGCAATTGCCATTTGTACAAAATAACTATATATTTTTCATACTTTTAAATGGATTCCCTTATAAAACGTAAGGTGAACAATAATTAACCTTGCCTTTTTTTTTGTCAACAATTAACCTTACCTTTTTCGTCAGAAACTATCAATAAAAGTTTCTTTTTTTTTTTTAACAGAAAGCTAACACTATTTCTGAAAACAATTGTGCCAAAAAAACTATTGGAAATGGAGAAATTTTGATTTAATATTCTGAAAAACTAGAAATCTTGAAACTAACCCATTTTTAAAAAAGTTTGAAAAGTAACTTTCTATGAGATAAAAAAAACAATAATACCATTATAAACTTTGAGAATTTAAAATACAAAACATATTTATTTAAATTTTTAAGCTACCTAAAAGTAATGAAATTGCATAGCTAGAACAAAAGGGAAAGATATACTATCATGAAATTTTTTTTTTGATTTACTTGTTTACCTTCGAGTAAATAGCCTGATAGTTTCCAGAAAATCTTTTATTTTTATACTACACACCATATCATTCAAACAGCAAGATACTGTCAAAGCTTTGACTTGCTTATCTTCTTCACCTTCGAAAGAGTTTTTTTCAAGTTTGCAGCATGTATGCATATATTATCATGTTCAAAATGATGTCATGGATTCGAATGATATTTTTATGTCTCCTTGATATCAAATTGATTAGTAAACCCTTTTTAATAATGATTAGTTACTAACTTTGATAAAAGGAACTATGGTAGAACTCTCATACAATAATACACGAATTTATCGACACCAGAAAACGTCAGAAAGTAGTCGTAAATTGGCCATTTACGTCTGATTAGGGACTGCAAAAAGTAGTCGTTAATCCTTAGTCGCTAATTAGGGCAGTCGTGAAATAGTCGTAAGTTTGCGACTAACTTACGATTAAATTGCGTGTGATATAAATTGATGTATATCAGTCGTATTTCCATCGGCATATTTAGTGACTATTTTACGACTAAATTTGCGACTCTATTACGACTAAAATGCAGTCATACTGATAATATCATAGTAGTAGCTATTTAGTCGTTTAATATTTAGTCGTTATTTTGTCGTTAACGGAACGACTATTTTACGACTGTTTTGTGACCCATTTATCTACTTATTTGCGACTGTTTAACGACTGCTGTCGATAAATGAACAGTACTTTGTTGCACTTTTACGACTGATTTGTGACTGATCTGTGACCATTTCCCGACAAATTTAAGACTGCTTTGCGACTATTTTGAGCATCGTTTTTGCAATTTGGTATTTGCTATTTAGAAATCCCCAATTTTGAAAACCTGTTTATAAACAGTACTATAAAAGGCAAATTTGAATATACTAAAACCATGATCAATATTTAAAAAGCCAAAAACCAATACATTCATCATCATAATACATTCATATAAAACCAAAAAATCTCAAATGGTTTATATATACAACCATTTAAGAGAAGTACAAAATGAAAAGAGACATACTCTTCTAAGTTTTTTGAGACATTAAAAAGAGTCCTAAGGTTCCGAGACATTAAAAAAAAGTGAGAAAAGACCTACTCATCTAAGGTGGTACTTGATGTTTGAGTTACATGAGTTGTCGGAGCAGCAGGCGGATCAGCAGGTGTTGGAGTGGTAGACTTCGCAGTAGGAGTGGTCAATGGAGGAGTTTGACTAGCCAAAAAATCATTGAACCGTGGATCAGTTTGAGTCAAGTACCTTTCAACCATGGTGAGCTTCTCGAGCTTGGCTTCTTGCGCAGCTGAAGCTTTGGCAAACTCTGCTTCACGCCTTACATTCTCAGCCGCTTGGAGTTCTATTTGGTGTTGAGCTTGTTAAAGCTGTTCCTGCAGAGTGTCGTAGGATGCAGAGCTTCCTGGGTACTTCGTCTTGCCATTGACGTACAAGTGTGAGAGGCTACCAACTCCATAAGGTACACCTCTTTCACTCATAATAGTCGACTGCGAATACAAAAAAAGAGTCAGACATATGATTCATTAAACTAAAACCATGTTAGAATCAAAGGACAAGCAAGAAAAACCCAAATAAGAATAGAGAACCGTACCTGTAGAAACAAGTCGTTCTGCTCTTCCACAGTTAGCTCTCGACGAGGTGATGTACCCTCAGGATTGTCTGAGTTTTCAGGGTTTAGGGCAGACAACTTGGCTTCCAAGTTTTTCTGGTAAGTCTCAGCCACTCTCTTTGCCTTTCCATTCGGGGACATCATATATAGGGACTTCACCTTCGTCAAATCTTGTTAACCTTAATTTTGTTTGTATATGATCGGAAAAGTAGTGCTTCGTAAAATAAGCAATCTCGTCGTTGATATATGATTCAACAATCGATCATGATGCATATCTTTTGTTCTTCGCTTTTGCTTTCAGTTTTTTGAAATTCTTTCAAAAGGATACATCCACCTATACTGCACAGGACCTCCTAATTCAGCTTCATAAGGAAGATGTATAGGCAAGTGCTCTATTACGTCAAAAAATGATGGTGGAAAAATCTTCTCCAAATTGCATAAGATTAGGACAATGTTTTGTTTTAGGATTTGGACCCTGTTTTTTTGCAAAGTTCTTGAACATAAGTCACGAAAGAATCCTCCAACACCTATATATATGAAAGTTCAATTATAAATAAATTACTATAATCAGAAAATTTACATGTACTATTAAATAGACTATAAAGTACCTGATAATGCAAGGTGGACGTTACGGTTCAAGAGTTCTGCAAAGATAAATGGAAGTAGCCGTTCCATAAAAACATGACAGTCATGACTCTTCATGCTGGCAAGCTTTCTTTTTTCAATAT